AGGGTAACGGGAGGACACAAACTAGCGTCCTCCCGTCACCCTAGGCTCAGTATACCGTGAGCTGTAGCTCGCGGTATACTGAGACGCTGAAGCGGATCCCGACAATTGTGCCGGCATCCGCCCAGCTGCGTCAGTGACAGCTGGCTCTGCCTTTCTAGAGGCAGAGCCAGCTGTCCCTGCCCCTACCCCCCTCCCATCCACCAGTCAGCGCTCCTCCCCTGTCACGGCAGAGAGCCGTGACAGGATTGAGAGGTGAACGAACGCTGGTATGTGTTCGCTCACCTCCCGATCTACTGAGCCGACCTGTGACAGTCTCATTGTCACAGGTCGGCTAGAACTATGAGGTGAGTGAAAAGCACTCGCCTCATAGTTCTCCTTTTTTAATGCGTGCACTTAATCTGTAACTTGCCCACAACCTGCCAGGTTACTAAAACAACCCATTGTGACTGTTGTGGGTCTGCTGGACATAGAACTTGTGTTAGGTGATTTGCTAGGAATAGAATTGTAGCTCGGCAAACAAAGCAGTGTCATATTTTTTTTTTTCTTCAAAACTAAACCGCATCAGAATTTGATTTCAGCGGAACCCATGGCCGAATTCCTTCACCAGTAACCAGCCTGATTCTGCTCCATGTGTTGGATATTTTATAGCTACCAGATACTCTAAGGGCCTGTTCACATGAGTTTCAGGTCCGGATCTGCAGATGCGGTGCTACTGATGCAGTGCGTTTTGGCCGCGTTTTTGATGCGTTCCAGGAGTGGGGCTGTTAGGTAAAACGCCATACGCCCAAAGAAGTACATGAGCTTCTTTGGGGCGTATTAACGCCCGTATCCCGCTGTTATCAGCCGTTTGACGCGCGTTTCTTTTACAGCAAATCGCGGTAAAACCACGTGGTAAGAAACGCACGGCAAACGCGAGTTTCCAATACGTGTGAACCCAGCCTTAGTATGTTAGCTGCAGTGCGTTTTTGACGCGTTTCCTGACTGTACAAAATGTGACATGCAGTATTTTTCTGTCGTAAGCTGAACGTGAGAACTGTAGCCCATAAAACACATAGGGATACATTGGGGTGCATTTTGAGTGCCCACTCGAAATGCATCCCAATGTATCCCTATGTGTTTTATCTCACGTGCGCAGTCCGTTCAGCTTACGACAGAAAAATACTGCATGTCACATTTTGTACGGTCAGGAAACGCAAACACGTCAAAAACTAACTGCAATGCAGCTAACATACTAACAGCCCCACTCGAGCAAAACAAACATTTTTTTTATTTTTTTTTACTGGAATGCGGCCAAAACGCACTGCATCAGTAGCACCACGTCTGCAGATCAGGACCTGAAACTCATGTGAACAAGCCCTAAAAGCATATGAGTTGAATGTACATAATTGTCCAGTCCATTTTTATAGATTTCCAGTGTTAAAAAGTCACAGGCCTGTGGGGGTGCGGGGGGCCTTAAAACAGGTTCCTATCACAATCCCATGAGGGATGGGGGGAGCCTTAAAACAGGTTCCCCTTTTTTCTATTCATGGCATTGTAAACAGCACAGCAACAAATGACTTGTGTTTTAGAAGCAATCATTGGAGGCTCCAGTGCTTCGGTCATTGTGAAATCCATTGTGTTGCAAATGGTATTGCACTGGTTTTTATTGGCAGTAGGTGTGGTGACAGTGTTGCAATATTTTTGTTAAGACTAAGTATGATGTGAAGGCAGCCTTCATAATAAAGGCTTTGCAGACTATTGAGTAGTTTAACTTTGTAAGGATCGTACTCTGCACAACAGTAACGTGGCTTTTGAGTTTCTTAACCTTTTAGTTTGTGCAAAGCTGACGCATTACTAGTAGCACGGGAGTGTGTAGAATACCACATACGTTAGCCAATAAAACTGTGTATGACTTGAAAGAATAAGGTGAGAAATGGCAAACATTTCAGATGTGGCATCAGAGTATATGTCCTTGCTAAGGAATAATCTACATTTCTGATATGGCTGATAAATGATTGTGTTTACCAATTTTAGACTTCACAAGGCGCACCTAAAGACAAGAAGACGGATCACCCTCCACAAGCCAAGAAGGCCAAAGTGAAGACTAGCACGATTGAGCTACCTATTGATCACTACCCTCCATGGCAGATAGGGCGAGATATGTTGAACTTGTTTGTGGAAAATGAGGTTTGTAGACCATGTATTGCAATCCTAACTGGCAGATGTCGAGGGGGTTTCGGGGAGGCAGATACGCTGTTAAAGTGTTTCTAGCTGATAAGATTTCTCATCTGATGAATTGCCGTGTGTGTAATGGGAGATCCATATGCGTGTACGAGTAAGTTGTGTGTGCCTCCACAAACAGAGCAAAGCAATCCACTCCCCTTCTAACTGCATCTCCTTCCTGCCCCTCCTTCATCCCTTCTCCCTTATCTAAGCTAGTAGATGTAAAGTTGCTGGAGACTGTGCTCTCCCTTGTGACCTGCTACCCGACAGGATGTTCAGGGAAGCTGAGCTGAGAAAGTTGGAGCTAGTTGTGTGGAAACATGATGACTGAAAGTGCTTGGGCATAAATGTACATTTGGGCAATGTATATTTGTTTGATCTGGATTCAATATTAAAGTTTGAGAATTTTAATTCTAATTTAATTGGTGATTGGTGGAAAATCAGGTTCTTTATGTTTAAGTTGAAGTAAAACCTCTGAGCTTAATATAAAATATGTACCTATGGTCTATCAGTGTAAAATACGTACCTATGGTTTCTGTTAGGTCTGTACTTGTGCTTGCTCATGGTTAATTGCAGCAGCCACAGTTTTTATCGGCTTATTAAACATGGACTATATTTCAACAGGAGTAAATGCACAAAACACTTTACAAATTGCTCCCATATACATCATCAAAACTGGAGCAGACAAAATTTGGAGCAGTTGTGGATGTTAACCAATCAGCTTCTCTCTCTCATTTTCAAATCCTAACTCAACAAACTGAAGAAAGAAGCTGATTGGTTGATTGGTTGCCATACACAGCTTCTCCAGATTTTGTCTGCTTCAGTTGTGATAACCCCCCCCCATGTGTTTATATTGTATTCTATATATATTTGGTCTAGAATTATTATATATAACATTGTGGAGAGTCAGCAGGGCTGAGAGCAAAGAAGGGGTTGACTTGGGAGGGCAGGTACTTCCCCTACAGCCCTTCGTGTTAAAAGGCAGCAAAGGTGAGAGGAGTGGGGAAGACCTGGTCATTCAGGTGCTAAGTTTAGCGTTTAACACTCTGAATGAATATGTTAACTGTTCATATTCTCTAACTGACTATTGCAAACTCATCTGGAGCATTCTAGTACTTATGTCTTCGATTAAAAAAATGAATAGCTGGGCACGGAAATATAAAATGTAAGCATTAACTACTGACCTCTGTTCCCCTAGGGAAAGATGATTATGCAGGATAAACTTGAGAAGGAGCGAAATGATGCCAAGAATGCTGTCGAAGAATATGTATATGAAATGAGGGACAAGCTGTGCGGCATTTATGAGAAATTTGTCAATGAAGATGTAAGTCATTCTCCATTCACTTTATTTGTTTCTGGGACGTAATAAAAATGTATATTTCAAGGAATGTAGTAGGGAAGGTAAACCGTTCTTTAAAAAGATTCTTCAGTAATTTTACTTGTCTTTAAGGCCCTTTTGTTAACCAGTTGACATCCGCGGTGTTAAACCCCCTTCCCAATACCAACCTCTCACCCAATCGGAAATTACCAACCTCTCCTCCCATCGGAACTTTAAGTTATAAATCAACAATTGCTTTGAGTTCTACATTTTCTCTCGTCCCTGCAGAATCTAAAAAGGCCACTATGGTGGGGCAACTTCTCATAGGTAAATCATGTTTCTAGCAGCATGGCCTGACTGTTTACATCCTATGTTGCTAAGAACAGGCTGTGCCTTGCCACTACTAGAAGGATTTAAAAAAAAAAAATGTTTTCTCTAATTAGCAGCTATCCTTCCATTTGCAGCTTTAACAGCATAGTAGGAAGGTAAGCCGTTATATTGGCATTTGTACGGGCTGCAGGGACCAAGTATAAAAGTATAACTCTTAAAGGAGAACTATGAGGTGAGTGCTTTTCACTCACCTCATAGTTCTAGCCGATCTGTGACAATGAGACTGTCACAGGTCGGCTCAGTAGATCGGGAGGTGAGCGAACACATACCGGCGTTCGCTCACCTCTCAATCCTGTCACGGCTCTCTGCCGTGACAGGGGAGTGGCTGGATTCCCCTCTCCCCGCTCCGATCCCCCAGTGCTGACTAGCGGAACAAGCGGTGGAGGGGGCGGGTACAGCTGGCTCTGCCTCTAGATAGGCAGAGCCAGCTGTCAGTCACGCAGCTGGGCGGATCCAGACATAATTGTCGGGATCCGCTTCAGCTGCGGCGTTTCAGTATACCGCGAGCTGTAGCTTGCGGTATACTGAGCTTAGGGTGACGGGAGGACGCTAGTTTGTGTCCTCCCGTTACCCTATGGGGAAAAACCCTAACCCCATAGTTCTCCTTTTTAATGAGGATACACTTTTTCGCTTAAGTTGGCGATAACCCTGACATGTAAACAGACTTTAGTGACTGTAGTAGCCCGGAGTTTTATGAGCAGTCTGTGCATGATCAACTTCCAGAGATTGCAGAGGATATATTGGTTATATTAGGGGTCTAATAGACCCCCTGATGTAGTTTTAAAGAGAACCTGTCACCCTCGCTTTGCTAGCAATGGATGAAGATGCTGGGTCAGCATAGAGAGTAATTAAACACTCTAAGAAGAGATGGCTATTACACACTAATGAAAGGGGGTTGTGCTAGGAAATTGACTTTTCTAGTGTAGTTGCAGTTCACACCCCCCCCCACATTGGAAGTGAACAAAAATAATTTGTTGGATTAGAGACAAAACTACAAGTAGGGACTTAAAGCACTTGACATTTTTTTATGCTTTTTGGTGCTTTTAGCTGCAAATTTTAAAGGCACTCTGTCAGAATCTTTAACTTTGCTGCAGTTGCATGTGTTTGAGGGTCGGCTTTATGGCAGAGATGCATCATTGGCTTTGTTTGAACTATTAAGCTGAAATGAATGACGGATGTTCCAAAAAAGTAGTACATTTTGTGTGTGAGGCTTTACAAATAAGAAAACAAACCATCTTTGTCCCTTCAATTAAGTGTATAAACCAACACATTATCAATTCTGTATGCAAAGCAGTGATCTGATCTGGGTAACTGATGATGAAAGATGCAGTTCTCATGCTTGCAGTTCTCATGCTTGCAACAAATGAGGGAAGTGGAGTTTGTAACTCAATGTTGTGGATGCCTTTCTTTATTTCTGTAAAATATAAATGCAGCTTTAGGGCTAATGCACAAAGGTTTATCGCAGAGCAAGTACGGATGTCATTTCATACAGCAAAGTATGGGGGCAGAACACCAGCGGCGGGGGTTGGTTTTTAGTGGGGTAAGTTTCCCAAATGCATAATGTATACATCCAAAACTTGCACCAGTGCCAGCATTTGTGGCGGGACACTCAAGCACAGGGTTTTTGTTTTTTTTCTTCATGTACAGTAAACCACAGCAGCTACGCCTGCCAGGCACCACACACAAGACTATCTGCTTTACAGTAGAAGTGATTCTGGTGGCTCAGCTGCTGCCAGATCACTTCTAAGGGCCCGTAAACAGGCACCCCCGCCCGACACGGCCGATGTGATTCTCTGGCTCCGCTGCCCCTCCTATGGGCCCGGGACTGGCTTCTCTGGTGTCGGGGGCAAGCTGGGGAGGGCAGTGGCAAACCTCCATTCACCGTTCTCCTCCCCCCTTACTATGGGACCGGGAGCGATGCATATTACATTACTTCGGTCCCATAGCTGTCAGTGCTGGGCTCCTGAAGTCCAGCAATAGGCTATTGAAGTACGATCTGCACTTCAATAGCTTATTTAGAGTGTAAAGGTGACACTGGGGGTCTTTTAGGCCCTTTTGCCCTTTTTAAAGCATCGTCTATGGACTTTTTGGGGTACTGAAATTTGTCGCAGTTTCAGGACGCACACAATTTTTTACCTGTGCATGTTGGGTATCTATTGTCGTAACGTCATCTTTTATATTTTTAACCAGTTGACATCCGCGGTGTTAAACCCCCTTCCCATCCAGGCCATTTTTCAGTATTCAGCGCTGCGGTACTTTAACTGACATTTATTCCGTCATACAGCGCTTTACTGAAATGAATTTTATACCCTTTTTTGATGGCAAGAGGTTAAAGTTTTTTGGGGTTGTAAGTGCATTTTTCACTAAATTTGGGGGTTTGATGAGTTGCGCGAATATAGTGCAACATAAATATTTGCAACTGCCACAATTTTATACTACAGGGTCTTGGCTTTCAGAAAATATATAATGTTGGGGGGTTTTAAGGAATTTTCAGGCCTTAAATGTGGATTATAACATGTAAACAAAAAATGAAGGGGGAAAAAATAGGCCTCGGTTATGAAGGGGTTAAAGGGTTTTGATTTCACATTTTACATAGAAATCCTCTTACAAACATAATGGATTGAATCTGGTCAAGGCTACAGGGATACCTATAGAAAGAGGGTGTTTTGTTTTATCTCGATTTCCCAATATTTAACGTTAACCTGTTACAAACCCAGGCATTTCATAGAGGACAACGGATAAAACATACTAAGCAACAGTTCCCTTCATTAAAGATCGCATGTGAAAACAATTGAGGTTCGGAGATATCTGCCAACATTAAATGACCATCTTGACTTTTCATGTTAGTCTACCTGGGCCCTGCCCCTTCGTATTTGATATCTTATGTGATGGGTGGTCTTATTGATAAGAAGGGATTGGGAGGGAGTGAGCCCAATATTGGCTTTTACAAGTAAGTCCAGATCTGTTTTCTTTGGTTTGACTTGCGATGTCTACTGAAGGTAACCTGCTTTATGCTTTATTTTTTTTTATTATGCTCAGATTGAATTGACCAGGTTTTAACAGGTTAAGAAAATTTGTAAGTCCATTATTTTGCAAATGACACGAGTTAGAGGTAATTGGAACGTGAAATGGCTCCATAATGCAATCTAGGTTGTACAAAGAATACTCTCCCTGATGAATTTATTTATCGATTTGTAGAACTTTGACTTGAAAAGTTGGGACGTTTTATTAATGTGACATAACTTTCTTGAAGAAAAAACATTGACTACTGTGAACATCATGTTTTTAGGACCGAAACAGTTTTATCCTGAAGCTTGAGGATACAGAGAATTGGCTGTATGAGGATGGAGAGGATCAGTCGAAACAAGTGTATATAGACAAGTTTACAGACTTAAAGGTAAGTGGTTGGCATGTTGTGAAAACTTTAGTCAGTTTCCATGTGTAAATTTTTACTTTAAGCTTTATCTACAGGGACTTCTGCGCTCGATTAATCTAAGAAAACTGGGCGTTTCTCCTTACAGCTGCTCACTTAAATTGGCTGCATGAGCCTGCATTAATATCATTCAAACATGTGAAGCGGCGCTTCACATGTTTTGAATTGCTTTAAGCTTGTTGAAATATAAACATTTTATGGGTTCCAAGTTTAACTTCTAGTAAGATTTCATTTTTTTGTTACCTGGCTTGTGACATTTCTAGCCACACTGGTTATTTGCATGTTGAAGGAAGGCCTG